TAAGTCGGTATTTCTTATAAAAAATGAGTTGAGTTTACTAGAGTTTCTATTTTTTCTTTAATTATTCTAAATTTGGGGAATTTATAGATGAACTAATTTCATACTCCATTAAAAAGCTACAGAAGAAAATTCAGTTGTTGAAATAAGTAGTTGAGCTACTTTTTTTATTAGTTTTTTTTATCTGACAACGTTAAACTATCAAAAAAAAAAAAAAAATTTGCTTTGAACTGTTTTGAGAAAGCATTACTTTTTATCAGTTTTGAGAATTTGAAAAAAGATGAAAGTGTGAAGCAATTTTGTAGAGTTTGAGCGATGCACAGCAATAATTTCGTGTTATGAGTGCTAAATCAGTAAAAAAAAAAGTTTCTTTCTATTGTATAGACTTTTTATATGTAAGCTCGTTAAACAGTTTTTTAAAACTATTTAGTTTTGGTATAGTTTTGGTATTAAAATATCTTAAGGAGGCATGTTTGAATTTACATTAATGAAACCTTTTTTTCAGTCTCACTAAAAATACAAAGATTCAAACTTTTGATAGCCTTGCTGGCAGCTTTGTAAAGCAGTATAAATGCGTTAAAACAAAAAACTTTTTTTACTGCAAAATTTAAATTAAATTTGCTGGTATGACTTAAACTTATATTGATTGTTCAATTCAAAAAAAAAAAAAAAATGAAGTCTAGTAGAAAGCTTATGAACAAATAGATAACCAAAAAAATTAATAAAATTATATTTGTCTAAACACAAAAAATGAAATGGTCTTATTGTGTTAGCACTACATTGATAACAGTCATCACTTTTTATCATTGTAAATATTGTTTTTGTATAAATTTTGCAAAGACTATCTATTTTGGGAAGATATACAAACATCGTTTTATTTGTCGTTTATTCTTTCGGGTTTTTTATTCATGTCAACAAAGCTGTTGGTAACGAGTTCTTTAAGCAAGTCTAATTGCACTTTATCCCGTTCCTGTCTTAAAATCATTCCTAGATTGACCAAACTGCAGTTACAAACACGGAACTGGGTAGCACCGTTTTTCTCTAGTACATACAAGATAGGATTAAATGCCAAGATTAGATGCTAACCATTGTAATTTATCAGTCAACAGTTATTTGAAAGCATCAAATTCTTTCTTGTTGAAACACTGTTTCTTTTTTCTCAAAATCTTTTTAAATGTCACTGATCTTTGTTGTCTGATTGCATTCACTTTTGACAATAAATCCAGTAAACCTATAATAGACTTTATATAAATTATCATTTTTTTTTTTGCGCTGGTGACAAACTGTCAACGGGGTACAGCTTAGATATGATATTTTTTCAAACACACATTGGTGTGTTTATATGTGTGTGCTTTTTTTTTTTGCTTCATCAGACAACTAATACGTTTCTGTTTGATCGTTGCAGATTGCTACTGAATACAATTTTGTGTAAAATAGCTACTTTGATGTGAGCCGATAGAATGATAGTTAAACAAATTTTCAGCACAAATGATTGCTAAGATCGAGAAACCGGACAATAGTTCAGCGTATTTGAGTTCTTTTGTTGCTGAAAATACGCTTGTTCTGCGTTGTTAATCCATTGAGAAATAAATATTTACTTTAAACTGTAGGATTGTAGTACTTTATTACTGCTTCCTATCCACCGATAATTCGTGTAAGTGGTCCTCTGTTGAGATTAGCTGTGTAGTTTTTGCAAAACATTCTTAGCAAAACACTTCCATCATCAGGTAACAACATAGTAATTACTATAAAGGCACCTGAACCAGTTTACAGAAATCCTTTTTTGCTACACTTTAAAGTGGCTAATTAACACACTAAATTTACGACTGGCTCTTAATCTTTAATCGGTCTCTTAATCAGTTTCCTTTTGAATGGTGGCTAAAAGAGAGATCTGTATCGGTTGTTGCAAAACCGTTCTGCGCAACCAGCACTATAAACTAGTGCTTAAATATGATATCGTTGTTAAAAGATACAACAGACTGAACTTATTAACTTGTTGGTCAGCGTAGACGAAAGGTTAACGAAAGCTAGTTTCGCTTTCGCTTAAAGAAATTAGCGAACGACGTTATAAGGGGTGCTACCTTCAGATATTGCCAAACAGAGTCTTGTAGAACTGAAGCAGAACTTAAACTTCAGATATCAGATTTTTTTACTCAATCTTTTTCTTACAAAAAAACTGCTATCGTTTCACTGCGTTGCAATAACTTAGTAAAATTTCCAGTAATATAGATGCGCCATTGATAAGTTGCTCTCTCCTGAGTTAATTATCATATGGTTTTACTTGTAAACATTACTGACACTTATTACACGAAAATCAGTTCATATAAACCAGTGAAGCAGATTAATCATATATGTTTGCTTAATAACCTGAAATAAAAAATGACTTGATTGTTTTCACAAATTATTAGTTGTTTTTGAAATTTTAGTTACTGCTACGGTAAACGACGAACAAGTCAAAAGTTGAAATTATTTATTATATCTTTCTAAACTCGTTATTTGTTCAGTATGCAAAAAAAAAAAAAGAAAAACTAAAACGAAGAGTAAGAAATTATAACGGTTGCTGTAGAAAGACATCAGGTCAGCTCCTGTTGAAAAGATATTTATTAAGTTGTTTTTGACGTATTGCTTTTGATCTTTCGCTAAGATTGATAAACAAATTGAATAATTTTCAATGAAAAACTTTAACTTTTGAGCGAAAAATTAAATTTTTTGTTTTCTAAAAATTTTATTACATTACCCAGTAATTTTCTAAAGTAAAAATACCAGTTGCTTTTTGTCTAATATTTGGCAGTTTGTTGCATAAAAACGGTGTTTGGTACGTTTTTAAAATGTTTGAGCACATAAAGTCGTCATATGGTATAGGCTTCAAAAGTAATCATTTTTTATTCTAGCGGTTTTTAACTGCTTCGAGTTTGTTATAAATCTTGACTCATGAATCTAAGCAAAAAAAGCTCATCTAAAAAGATTGTCTTTTTTGCTTTTTTTTCTCTTTTCTACTTAATGTAGAAAAAACATCTTAAAAAAACATTGTTACGAGGTACTACAAATTATTTTTTGATTATTTTGGGTCTTCTTATGATGGAAATCTATGCCGCCAGTTTCAGTGACTGTAACCCCAGCGATATAAATCACTGAAAATAGTTTAGTAGTGATAAACTGTGAAAAAAGAGAGAGAGGTACAAGGCTGAGGAGTAGGTAAATATGTTAGAGCATAAATTTGCAGTCTGTATAAATGAATGAAAAAAGGTGGTTGTTGATTTATTTGATACTGCTGATCATTGTTGATACGAAGAAGACCTGTTGTTTTGGTATGTATGATTACAGTAACAGCTCTGGCAAACCATTTTTAATACTTTAACATATAGTCAAAAAGTGAGCAAAAAACAATTTTTTTTTCTTCCGAACTGCATAATTGACATTCTTTTTTGTTGTCATATTTGTTGTTTTCATTGATGATGATGACGATGACGATGGCGAAAAAAAAAAAAAGAAAGAATTCTGTAAACGATTCACGAGTAGTTTAAACGCCCGTTTCTTTCGTCGTTTACGTTGTTCATCACCCCATCTGAGGAAACCGAGCAAAGCTATTTTCTTGTTGTTCGCTATTTGGTGTGCGCACAAATTCAGTTTCAGTAAATGCCGCGCCGGGTACTTAGGTTGGTGTGAAAATTTTGCTGCAAAACCCGTAAGTAGAGCAAAACTATTTAGCAGCCAAATTGTTGCATTTATATTTTGTTTGTCAAATAAAAACTGAAAAAACAAAAGCTTAAAATAGATAAAAAGAAAAAAAAAAATTTATTGTATGACTGTTAAATCAATATTATAGCAGGAAAAAAAAGTAAAAGTAAAAAAGAAAACTCTTTAACTCTTTTACCACAACATAATAAATGATTAGATAGAAAGAAATAAACAACTACAAAATAATAGACTTTTTATTCTTTCTCTTTTATTTATTTATTTATTCTTTACTAATAAAAAAGCAAAAAAAAAAAAAAAAA